GCCCACTAGAGGCTAACTCTGGCAGCTCAGTTCTGACCCGTGAGCTGGGTTTTGGCCACCCCTGGACTACGCAGTAGAGCACTCTGACAGTAATGTGCATGGTGTTTTTTCCATCACAGCAGTGAGGTCTTTTCTATCCAGCCACCTTAGCCAATTGCACGCTGGTGAACTCAGAACTCCTGCCTCCATGTAACGTCCAGTGCTCCTAGAGGCTAACTCTGGCAGCTCAGTTCTGACCCGTGAGCTGGGTTTTGGCCACCCCTGGACTACGCAGTAGAGCACTCTGACAGTAATGTGCATGGTGTTTTTTCCATCACAGCAGTGAGGTCTTTTCTATCCAGCCACCTTAGCCAATTGCACGCTGGTGAACTCAGAACTCCTGCCTCCATGTAACGTCCAGTGCTCTGCTCTGTCCAGTTTTCCATGATTCAGGGAGAGGCTTTCACCAGTTCATTTGGGAGTTTAAACAGCTTCCAACTGGAAAACTGTATTTATCGTCTCTTTGTTTAATTCTGTTCAATAGTCCGTGTTATACGGCCTATCACACCACCTTCAATAATGCCTCTTCTCATTGCAGTGATTTAAGTGCTTCTGGAATCAGGCCCTATAACCTCACTAGAGAATTTTATAAGCTGAGACAACAATCCTCGTTCTCTATGTTCCATGGGAGTTTTCCACTAGATGGTTTGGAAACCACAAAGGAGCGAGTTTTCCCTAAACGGCCTATTGTTTCCATCCCAGTTCTGTCAGAGCAGTACTTCTATTACTTGATCATTTTGATTTGAAACTTGGAAAGACACAGAAGCCTGAGTATTGTCAGAGAAGTTAGCAAAAGACCTGCTGAATGTGCTGACAAGAAGGAACTCAGCACCTCTCCGAATCAGGCCTGTAGTGCGGGTTTGCTTATTTTGGGGATCAAACAGAAGCTTCCTTATTTCAAGGCAGTGAACTGAAGTGAGGGGCCTTTTTCAAAAGGTGTGTTGTAGCCATACAATGGCCACGCTGAAAGCACAATAATTTTAGCACTGAGATGATTTTGGCAACCACTAAAAGCTGCTGGACAACAAAACAAACTTTCCATGTTTTAGAGGCACAGAGATGAAAAGGAGAAATGGGCTCATTTTGAAGCAAATTGCGCTTTTTCTGTAAAATGCAGCAGAAAGGAATCTGCACTCTAGAAAAGGCTGCGGGCATGATGTTCCTTCCATAATTGGTGAGGAAATTAGTCTAACATTTCTTTACCACGAAGAGTCATTTGGACAGCATGTTACTGCTCAGGGCTATTGCAAAACATGCCTTTTATAATTTCCATTTATGCTCTGTTAATCGGCCTGTCGGTGGCACAGAGAAGAGAGTTTAAAAGGCTGATATAGCTCCATTGATCAAGAATGCATGTGTGCATTAGGCAGGGCAAGCTACAGGCTTCGGGTGAAACTCTGACACTACTGAAGACAATGGAAAAGCTCCCAATGATTTCACTGGGATGAGGATTTAATCCTTTTGGGTCCACTTCTCATTTGCACTGTTCGGACCGAGCAATGGAGCCTTTGAATTAAGGTAAATGTAACTCACGCCTGTACTGAGGTCTCATTCTGGCAACGCCATATAAAGAGGGTGTTTGTGTTACTGGGAAACCAGACTTTCAGGGCAGGTCTGCAGCTCTACTGTTTCCCATGCAGCTCTCGCTTCATCCTAATACTCCTGGCTAAAGCAGTGAGCTCTCTGTCTGTGAAGCCAGGATATCAACTGTGGCAAAGACCCATCAGTGTAGTTCAGCTGCCTCCCCGAGAGGCCAACGCTGGGCTGACAGGAGACATGCTCCTGTCGACATAGTGCCGTCTACACGGGGTTTAGGTTGATATAATTACACCGCCTCCAGGAGGTGGGGGATTTTTCACCCCTCCTCCCGAGCAACATAGTTTTTTACACCAGACCCAAACCTCCCTTGAATTACAATTCTGGAGCCTTAATATCTCACCAGTCCTGCATGAAAGGTTTTGTTAACCTTGTTATTCAATGGAAGGTGTCCTGCATAACAATAACACCACAGTACCATGTACAGAAGACCTAGGGACGTGTTATGCTGAGCAAATGACCTGGTAGGTCCCTCCTGAAGTGCTGTTGTTCCCAGCAGAATGGTGTCTCAAAACACAGCTGTGGTCTGATGCCCCCTCCAGGACTTCTTGCTGTGGAATGCAAGAGTGAACCCTTTGAACTAGTTGTTCTCCTCCCAAGACAACTTTCCCGGAAGGGAAACGTGATTTCTAATGAGTTTAAAGGTTGCAAATCTTTCTGTTTCATTCATAATAACTAGCACACGTTCCCCCTCCAACCTCATGGTTTGTGCCACCTTAGCCTGGCTAGGTCCTGGTGGACAATGACAACCTGCTGACGTTTGTGACGCACTGAGATCTGGGGATGAAAAGTGCTGAGGATTGGGGGAGAACATCCTATTGCACGCGGAAGGCAGGACTGCAGAGCGGTGAGGCCGCTAGTGCCCCATGCAGATTCACAGGGCTGAGAACAGAACGGCCACTCTCGGTATCACGGCTTGACAGATGTAGAGAGCCCCCTGCTCCTGCAGACAGGAATAGGATGAAACTAGAGCTATACGGGAAGAAGCAATTTTCCTGCTCTGTGAAAATTTTCCAGACATTTCCCATTCTATACCTGGACAAAATTGAGGTTGTCTGAGGTTTTTCACAGAAGGGGGGAGGCAAGAGGAGAGGTGAGACACACACATGAATAGCTCAGTGTTTAGAGTGATCTGTGGGATCTAGGATACATGGGTTCGAATCCCAGAACTGGGTGATTCAGAGTAGGGACTTGAAAACATGGGTCTCTTGGTGAGTATACTAGATTCTACAGAGAGGTAAGTGTTTGGCCAGCAATTTCACTGCAGAACTGAGGAATCATCACAACTGTGGTAGGTTCTTGAGCAAAGGTTTGGTTTTGAAAAATGGACAATTATTGACAGAAAAACTATTTCTCTGGCCCCTGACTTGCTGGATCCAGCCCCTGAGGCTTGGGGTTCACCCTCCTCCCCACGCAGCATTGGGGAGCTTCTCTGCTGCCTTTCAGCAGGGCTGGAGCACACAAAGGCTATGGCTACACTGTAGCCTTCTTGCGGAAAAACATATGCAAATGAAGCACGGTGTGGAATATCGGTGCGCTTCATTTGCATAATTAATTAGCAGCCGCTTTTGCACAAGAGGTTGAAAAAAATGAGGAAGAACAGCACAAGAGGGTTTTTTTTTTTTTACACAAAAAGGAGCCGTCTACAGGGGAATGTGTGCTGATTTCCTATGGGTTCTACATCCCACAGAAGTTAAATAAAAAGGATAGCTCTGTAGCTTTTGGGAGGGCTTGGGCTTGTATTCCTATGTGTTTGTACAGTATTCAACTATTCTGAGTGTCGATAAACCATATTCCTTATGCTGCTGTGATGGAATTCCACATTTTGAGCCAAAAACCTATTGTATGGGGAACCTTCTCACTCAAATTCCAGGGGTTTTAGAATATTTTTTATGGAAGCTTGTTGAATGGCAATAAAAATCCTGTTGGTATTATCCCTATTAAATTCTACAGGATTTGTCTGTAAGGATTCATAATTTCAAGATACAAACAAATCAGTTTCTCCTAGTCCAGCTATTTCCAAGTTTGCATTCAGTGACTAAGGGCTCTTTTATCATTTCAATTTCCTGCCCTGGTGCCCACACAGCCACCAGCTTCAGTAATGACATCACGACACCTGCTCCTAGCTGCATCAGATATTTCTGGTGCACTGATCCCATTTTGGTCTATTTAGTTTTTAAATACGTCTGTCCTAGCTTCTGGATTTCATCTCTGCCAATCTCGTCTCTCTTTCTATTAGCAGATATTTTAATTTCCTTGAATAGAAAGACCTTGCTTGATAAGATGTGGGAGAAACATGGGTTTTCAAACAACATTTAGATTCACTGCATTATTGGCCCATTACCATGGATATTAATTTTAACATGTAAACTGGCCAATAGCAGCATGCAAATAGTCTTTCTAAATACTGGCAAATTTGTTAGTCTCTAAGGGGATTTAAAAATGGCACCCAGACGGGAAGATGCAAATAAAGCCCATGATATTTAAATCCCAGGCTTCATTTGCAACTTCGAATGCCTACATTAGCCTCCCTAGTTCGAACTAGGGGGCTAGTGTAGACATACCCTAAGGTGTTACAGGACTATTCCTTTCTTTCAATAATAATGGGGGGATTTCA